GAAGCAAAAATTTACAGTAGATTAATCAATACTCAGCACTAGAGGTAGATAAAATGTTTTTCATAAAAACATTCATTTTCTTTTTTTTTTCTGTTTTTCTTCCTAGGAAAAGTCAGATTTAGAGAGTTCAAATCAGTTTGCAGATATGTGTAAATATTGTTATATTGTTAATTGGGAAAAAATCCAACCTATTTGAAATGGCTTTCTTTTATAATAAAACAATGGTCAAAAGATTTTCTTTTGACTCTGAACTGTTCCATTTTCTTCCCTTAATTCTGAAAACATTAATCAGCAAAAGAATTCATTTGATGCTCATAAATAAATCTGCAGGTAAAAAATAACTCATAATTGTGAATTCATCCCAAAATTCACCCAGACCATTGGAGATACAGAAAATAATTATGATATTTATGAGGTTTACGTTGGATATCAGAAGTTTGGGCACTGGAAGAGGCTCCCCAGGGCAGTGGTCACAACGTGAAGCCTGACAGAGTTCAAGGAGTATTGGGACAATTCTCTCAGGCACGTGGGGGGATTCTTGGGGTGTCCTGGGAACTGAACTCTATGTTCATTGCCCAAGTTTGGTTCTCCTATGGATTTCTCACCTACTCAGGCTTTGATAAACATTACCACATAAATCAGGCAGAATTAAATGAGCTGAGGGCCAAGCCCTCCATGGTATCAGTCAGGGCACTGGGAATGTGGGAGTAGAATTTCAGCACAGGAAGCTGTAACCCCCAGAGGAGCCCTTGGTGTTGTGCCAACCCTTCACTAGCATTAGCAATGGGACAAAGAAGAAAAAACACAAGTCAGAGAGAACAGCAAAACAACAGGGTTGGGTTTTTAGGCCCTATTTTAGCAGCTTTTAAAAGGTGATTGTTGATGTAATCATAGACATTGAGGAATAGCACTGTTTCAAATCCTTGCTTATGTGCACAACTTTTCAGTAAATCCCTGAAAGTGCATTTGCTGTGGTCAGAGATTTTTCTGTAATGCTCCCAGCAGCTCTCCAAAGCAGGTGGGTCACTGATGTCCTGGCAGTGATTGCTTTGCCTCCCCCTTTTGGATACAATTTAAAGCACTCACTGGCAAACCAGAGCAATGCTACAAAAATGCTCTATTTCACATATGGGGATGTTTTACTTGACTTGTTTTGAACAGGGTCCTTCCTAACCAGAAATGGTGTATCAGCTGCAGGATTTGTAAAGAAAGAGAGGGAGATTTGTCTGCTCCTTGTGGGTAAGTGTAGTTGCCAACACTGGCATGCTGGTCAGACTAAGGCATTGACGTGTAATTTAGAAGAACAGATGTTTTATCTGGGAACTTGTCCAGATCTTAAAAAAAAAAAAAAAGCGAGAAACTCAGTAGTAGACTCTTTTGTCAGCAGCATTATCCTTAAAAGTCCTGGAGAAGTAGTGAGTAAGTAGCTGGATTTCTAAGACACAGCAGAGAAGCAGAGATGATGTGTGATTATCTTTGTGAGTGACTTCCATTGCAGTGATGAATTAATTGGTCATTGCTGGTCAAATGGACTGAACAAAGCTGTAAACCCTGGACATGTTAATATGGCCATTATTTTCACATCAATCCTCTCTTCTCATTCTGTTCTTTTGAAAGAGCCCAGGAGTGACATCTTTCCTTCCCATCCGCTGCACTGTCAGCACCAGCAGCACAAATGGCTTAAAGTAAAGGGACTGAGAATGCATGAGACAACTTTGAGAGACATTAACTACTGCCTTTCATGCAAAACTGAGCTAATAAAGACTTTTCCTCATAGATGTCCAAATTGAAAGGGGTTTTAATCCACTCAAAAAGATTTCATAAGACTCTATCACTAGTACAAGGACTATTAAGCATGTAAGGAGGCACCTCCAAATTTATCTTTTTCACACTCTTCAATTACAACTCAGTCTTGCCTTTTCTCTAAATGTACTGTCCAATTCATACTGTAAATAGTATGTGCTGAGAGGATGTGCTGACAAAACTCTATTATCGTCTGAAGTACCTCTCAGACATCTTCTGCCTTAACTTCTGAAGTGCTAACAGCTTACTAAAAAAATTAGTTGGTTAATGCCCAAGGAGAAAGACAAAAAAAAATAAATAAACTACCCAGTGGTACTCCCCTGTTATTGTTTGGGTTCTCCCATCTTTCTGCTTGTGATAGACTCTTCAAGAAAATACATACAAATAAAACACAAATAATTAACATGGATAAATATACCAACAGGAATCCAAATGATGCTATTTTCCAAAATTCCCTTTGGGCTATGCCCTTTTCCCTGAATTGTACATAGTAAAGAAATGAAAACCAATTATTTTCAGAATCAGTATGAAAAGGAACAAGAGACTGAAAAAAAAATATCTACAAACACAGCAAGGTTAATTGGGGAACCAACTGATAGTATCAGTAGATCCAAAGGGCAGAGGGTTGGAATTGGATGATCTTTAAGGTCCCTTCCAACCCAGACCATTCCATGATTCAAGACCCAGGGCTGCTCACGAGGTGACTGTGCAGGGGAGGAGGAGCAGAGGAGGAGGAGGCTGTGGATGCTGCACAGGAGAGGCCAGACTGCCCCTGGGACAGGGTTTCAGTAGCTTAAATAACACATTTCCATGCAACTCAATTTTCTACACTGCTACTGAGCTCCTGCAGTGGTTTAAAAAGCAGGCATTCCGGCAGAAAGGAGATGAGATGGGAATGGTATCGTGCTGGCACTGGTGATTTCAGAGTTTGCAGCACACTGTGCCTGGAAAACCACAGCTCCCCAGCCAGGCAGGCACTGGGGGACACAAACCAGCACAGCTCTGTCTGGGAGGCTCAGCAATAACCAAGGTGTTGCTCTCCATTACTTTCTGCTGAGCCAACATCCTGTGCAAAGCCACTGCAGCAAGTTGATAATGATGCATGAAATGGAAAATCCTCCTGAGCACACCCAAAAGCACCTTGGATGTGCAAAACAATCACAGCAGCACCGTGTTATTTGGTAATTGTTACTACGTGTGCCCTCACTTATATATTCAGATTTTATCTGGTTTTACATAGGTGCAACTGCACCCCTTTTAATGTGTTTACTCCTGATTAAGACAGACTTTGATATGACTGAAGTCAGATGTACAGCAGTATTCAGCTCAGGCACAGAAAAAACCACAATGCTGTGGGACTGAAGATGAAAACCTTCAGAGGGTGTCACTCCACTGATTCAAATCAACAGACAATTTGCCCTGGTTACTTCCCTCCTTGACCTGTGTACCCTCTGAGGCCAGGCTAGCTGGGTACATGGAGAATAAAATCACTGTGGGGTTATGTGTGCCACTGTCACAAATCAGCAGTAGTTCTTTCAGCATTGCAAAACTTGCTGGAAATTGTTTGGAGAATTTTCAAAGTAAGTTTTCAATACTTTTTGATTTATCTCCATAGTCACAGTGCTACTCAAAGGTTTGCTGAAACAGCTGCAGGCAGTGGAGGAATCATAGAGAGATCACATGAAACACAGCTTCCTTTCTGCAAAGAAAGGATATTCAGTTCCTCTGCACCATTCCTCTGAACATTTTGGCTTCTTTGGAGATGTTAAATACTGGAAATAGCTCAGAGAGCATTTGGCTCAACATCTATGTCTATATATCACAAGGACTACTATATAATGCAAGGATTTAAAACAGGTTTCAATCCATTCTCACTAGAAAATATAAGCTACGTAATGTCAAAAATATCATTAGAGTGTAAGCACTGCACATAGCAGACTCCTAACTTCCTTCCAGGGATCATTCCATACTGAAAACCAAATACTGAACACACTGCCTCATGCACATTACACCATTAACTTTGGATTATCAATCAAGAACTAATTTTTCTTACAGGATTAGCTTCCTCAACCAGGTGACAGTGAGGAAAGATGAGATGTAGTACATGGGAATCAGATCATCCTGAATTTAGTTTGGCTTAAACAGTTGCTGAACTACAATATTGGCTGACAACAACATTTGGGGACCTGAGCTGTGTTACAGGCAAATTTTTTCTTCCATACTAAACAGAGAGAGAAACTGAATAGCAGTCCCCAGATTTATCACTCACACACAATGAAAGCAAGACAATGTATTCTCCTTAAAGTGCAGACCAAGCATTCAGAGCTGCTCATTACAGCAGTACACGATTTATTCTGTTATATATCTGCAGGCAGGTGGAGGGGCTGATAACTCCAGTTTAATTCTGGTTCTTGACTCATGCTCTGGAGATACTCAACTCTAATTTCCCTACTGCTTCTACTAGTTCTCCTTCCAAAATAGGGCAAAGTTACATTCCTTTTCCTCATCATTTGTTTATAAATGTCTCAATTCTTGGTTGTAACATATCTCAACCCATGATCAGTAGGCTTTTCTTCTTCTGTTTGTAGCTTCTCTCAGTGAAAGTTCTGTGGTCTAATTTGAACATTTTGACCTTGTCACATATTAGCTAGGCCATTTGCTCTTAATTCAGTCATTCAGCAATCTGATCTGCCAATTTCTCTAGTTATAAGACTTCTCAAGGAGTTGCTCTACAAAATTCCACCAACATTTTTCAGCTCTTTAGCAAATTTAGGCAGACGTTTGATACACTTAAAAAAATCTTTATTAATCTCCTGCTAATTACTTCTAATTAAGTTACCAGAAGTGTAGGTATTTCTGGCACAGTGTTTTCATATTTCATGTTTTCAGTTTTTAAAATATGCATAATTACTGCTCTCTGGGGGGACCAAATCCCTCCCAGAACTGGGAGAGAATTCTGCAATCCACACCACAGGATGCAGCATGTTCTGGGTCATCTTTTTTAAATAGCCTCAGCTATAAATATAAAACGTCTGTCTTTTTTTTTTTTTTTTTAACCCAAATTAAAATTTTAAAAAAATGTTGTAAAATGATAGGGGTTTTAATATTAATTTTGGAGTTTTCTCATTTTCCTTCTTCTCCCACACTGGATGTCTGTGGCAGACACAGAGGCCTGGAGGAAGGGGAAGGCTCCTCACCTGTGCACCAGCTGCTTGCGGCTCACGCAAATCGCGGTCTCATAGTCGTGGGTGACACACACTTTGTGTGGGCTGCACTTCACCTTCAGGCAGGGATCTTTGGATGGATCAAGGGCTATAAAAAAATCAAAATTATTATGACTAAATCATTAAATTATTAAATAATTTTAAAAAGATTTATCATTAAATTATTAAATCATTTAAAAAAGAAAGTGAGAAATGCACGCAGAGGGCTCTCCCGGCAGGTGACAACTGGTTAGAAGGAACATTCCCACACATGAGTGAACAAATACTTTGATATTTTATAGTATGTGCTGCTGTTTTCAGACTGCATGGGAAGTAGAGAAGTTTACACAGAAAGATAGATGGAGAGCCTAAAGACTCATTACTGAGCAGTGATCTAATTGGTGTTCACATTAATATTAGACATGAGAATTTAGGATGAAGTTCTGGTTTAACAATCTATATCACGCTGTTTATTTCACAGAAAAGCTATGTCTGGATAAAATGTACTCAAATAACAAAATGACCAGCATTTTAGAGCTAACTAATAACTGATATAATGTAGAGTGCTAATAAATTTAATTTCATAGCTGCTGTAAAACAGGCATAATATTTTTAGAGATTATTTTTAATTTTTTACAGCTAAGCATCCCCTGTATTTAAAATGCTTGAGTAGAAAAGCTACAACAAAATAATCCTGGCTTTCACACAACAACCTGCAGCACCAGCATGCTGTCAGAGTTGGAATCAGACAGCACCATGACTTGCCATCTCCGAGCAAACATGTCCAGGCTCTTGTCCCATTTGAAAGGTATCTGTCTAAATTCATTCTTCTACAAAAGAAGGTTTCTAAAATCAGCAATAAGACATTTTCTGCCAAAATGAATTACAAGTATTCAAAATATGGCTATGTTAACATGTCAGAAGGAAAGTCTCTGCCATACCGTCACACAGAGAAATTTCACTTTTGTTTGAGAAGTGATTTTTAGAGAAGCTCTTTTTGGACATTCTGTTGCCATGGATTTGACTTCTGTTCCTCTTCAATGTCTTTAAATCCCATTTTCCCTCTCCCATATCTCCTCACATCTTGGTCCATTCTTGGAAATGGGCAACTCTTGGTTTTATCTTGGGGATGGTATAAAGCTCTTTCTTGCCCTTTACGATAACCATTTCTGATTTCTACTGAATAATCAGAGAAACTTTCAAAGGAGACTATTTGAAATAGAAGAAATTTCAGTTTGCTGTGTACCAGATTTCTCTGAGAGCAAATATATTTCCAACAAGCAGAGGATTCTTCTGTTTTCCTTCGGGTCTGAAGTGTTGCAGCTGTTCTGTGCTGGGTTAAACAGCCACAGCTACAAGCTCCTGCCACATTAACACCCATTACACATTTGTGATGGGCAATTAAGCTTCACTAGTGCATATGTATTTACTGGAATGCCTTTGGTGCAAGACAGGGGGAAACCGTAAAAACAAAGCAAAAGTGCTAAAAGCTTTTTCTTTTAAACCATTAAAACTGATAGAAGAGGTGAAGTGAACAAGGAAGGAGAAAAGACCATCTGTTTCCTACACCATAAACAATAAGGCAGCAACATTCAATGTGTTGCCGTTAGGAAAATACATAGGCAGTGTTTGAGGACACAGGATCTGTCCCACTGGAAAGACCAAAGGCTGTCAAGGCTCTTCAGGGATGTTTTGCTGCTGCCTCTTGGTGTCTTTTTTAGTCAGACAGATGAGAAGTATCTGATTCCCTGCCCTTTACATTCCCAGAACACAAACAGTGAGAGACACCTTCTTAATCCTCTTACTTCACTCTCACTGGAGGCTGAGTTAAGGACTGAGGAAGATCTTTGACAGGGATTTAAATGGCAAGCCACAGCTTCCTGAGCTGGCTGTCTACCTGGATATTCTTAGACTGCAAACCAGTGAAACACCCTCCTTCTGCAAAGCCTTTAATGAGTGAGCATCACTTGGAGTGTGCAGGGTCACCACATCATCGTTTCAGCGCCTGAGGTGGTCCAAAGGTCATATCCACACACAAATTAATGACCAGAACTTTTGCTCTCTTGCAGCTGGCCTTGCTCTGTTGCTGGAGCCCATGAACATTGTTTGCTTCTGCTGGCAACACATCCTTGATGCAAAATGCTGCATCGACAAAAATCGCTGTGCAAACTGGCTGGGAGCCCAGGGCTAAGAGCTGCCAGGAGCACTGGGCTGCTGGTAAGCACAGCCTGGCCTTGTGCTCAGTGTTCTATCAGCCAAAACCTGAGGAGTGGGGATGGAGCTTTAGCCTGGAAAGTCAATACTGGTTTGGCATGAATAAGGAGCAAAATTTAGGCCCACATGGTCTATGAGACATCATGCACAGCTACAATACTTCGTGTTTTTTCACAGCAAAATTTACTCTAATTGGTGAATCCATTCCAGGAGCTATTTAGGTCTTCTAAGGCAATAAAAATGCATGCAGTTCTGAAATAGCATCACACTATACATTGGTAAAAGGAACATAACCTTCAGTATTTTGCAATTTAAAAATTGTCTATCCTAAAAGAAAAAACACTGTTGAATAACCATCAGGAAGGAAAGCAATGGGAAAAGATGTGGTTGGAAATCCTAGCCTCCATTTCCTTACAAATCTGGCCTCAAATTTCTATACCTTGGTGACTTGCTTCTAAAATCTGAGAACAATACTAACGTTGACAATAAATCCTCTTGATTTCACCAAGTATTGAGAACTCTGTAAATTCATGATCACTGTGCCCCAAGCAGCCTCCAAGCACGACATCTCCCACCAGCCCTCTCTATTTGCAAACAACAGGTCTAACAAAGTCCCTCACTGAGACTGGTGGCTGGTGGGCTCACCAACCGCTGTGACAAAAAGTTGTCCACCACACACTCTAAAAATTTCCTGGACTGCCTATTTTCTGTTCCCAGCAGATGTCTGGTAGGTTAAAATCACCTACAAGAACAAGGGCTGGTAACCCTGGCATAATCTCCTACTGCTTGTAGAATGAGTTATCCATCTCTTCCTCCTGGTTGGGTGGACAATAACAGACTCCCAGTAAGATGTCAGCCTTGTTGGCCTTCCCCTCAATTCACACCCACAGGCATTGAATCTCATTGTCATTAGTTTCAACACCCATGGCATCAAAATCTTCCCTAATATAAAGGACCAATGGTGGAAAACCTCATGAAAACCCTTAAATGGAGCACGTCATCATTTATTATTCATTACAAACAACCCTTTACATGCAGTTCAAAACAGTAATTTATTAAATAAAATCCAAAATGTGGACTTTGTCAGAAGACAGCAAAAACCCATCATGTGGATTGTTATTTCTGGAGATTTTTTTCCCCCACTGATGCAGAATGCATGATCCATATGAACATAAAAGTTCAAAGTAGGGATTTATATGTCTGCAAAGTTCCTCAACATGTTAAATCCATTTGGAAGGTTGTTCTACTGCTAAGCAACACAAGCCCTAAGGAGAGCTTGTAATAAAAAACAATTTCTGAAATATGCTAATCAAAGATCATGCTTTGTTAATCAGATTTCTACATGACTAGGAGCAGATGCTCATCACTGGAAGAAGAACACACCCTTGGGAATAAGATGAAACATAACAACCATATTTGTCATTACAGTTCTTTTTGTCCTAAAGCAATGAGTATGAACTCTTTGTAAATGAAGAGCTAAAAGTACAAATAAACAAAGTGACAAGAAGATGTTACTTTATCAGTTTGAAAGGAAAACTAAGGCCTTCCCTTCACTATGTCAGAGAGTCTGCCCTCAGTTCTGGCTGCACAATAATAACAAAAATACCTTAAGCCTGGCTTTGAGATGTGAACATTTTCCCAATTTTTCTTTAGCCTGAGTCTGAAGGTGAAACTGATATGATTAATTAATCTCACTTTAGAGTGGCTGAGCATTCATTCAACATTTATGTAGGGAGATATGTGTCCAGCCAGTACTGGAATTAAATGTTTCACTTGGACAAAAATTCTCTGATGAAAAACCCCTTCAGTCATTCTCCCTATCATTTTTTGAACCCAGGCTCCATGGTTTCCTGTTCTAAGAATTTCCCATGGATTCTGGATCTCCAAGGGAAGGATCCACCCCAGGAGGCAGCTGCCTGAAATATAGTACTGGACATCTCAGTATAATCATTTTCAGAAGATTTTTATCTTGGAAAAATGTAGGAAATTAGAAAAATATCTTCTTGGCTCATGAATCTCACTCTTCCTCACTTCACACCCAGAAGTTTCTGTTGCTGACATTTCTGACATTTGCTTTCTGGGAAGCCGTCCTGGTACTCAGAGCTGAGAAGTCTCTTCCCTTTTTTTTTTTTTTTTTTTTTTTTTTTTTTTTTTTTTTGTCTGGCTTTTATTATGCAGGGCAACCTAAGTTCTCTCTTAAAACTATAAATCTTCTATGGTAATCTCAGAGAGAGACCAAAGTAATTGGTAAATGATAAACACCAGGGACTGCAGGATTGCATCATTCTCCTAAAAACCTCCTAATGATTTGGTGACATTGCTTTCCAATACCAAAAGGTCTACAGACACCAACTGCATCCCAAATCTCTTTCTGTCCCAGCTCCAGAGAGTTCTCTGGACACAGCAGTCCAGAGAACTTTCCCCTATGGACTGAACACACTTTCCCTCTCCCCTCCTTGCACCATTCACCAGAGCTGTGGATTTGCAATATAAATCAATGTTGGACAAAGACCTACCAACAGTGTTTGAAATACTTTTCTATTACATTTCACATTTTTATTTATTACCACAATAAAAAAAGACTTATGACTTGCAGGAAATCTTAGTTCAGTCAATGGCAGTAGAGGGGGAAGTTGCTGTGTAAGGATGTAGTTCCATATGTTGTGCCAGTGGGTCACTGTGTTAATCACAACAGAGCCAATTTGCTTTTCACACATTTGACTTTAAAAGGGTGATAACAAATAAATACTTTCAGTGTCTCACAGCAATGGATGTGTAATCCTGCAGAAACTGTACAACTAGTTCACAACAAGATTTATGAGGTTGATTCTGTTTTTATGACCATTCCTTAGGGGGAAGAGAGTATTTTCAAAATGTAGCTGTTTAGTGAAGCTG